GGTTAGGTTAAAACAGTTATATAATATCAGAATCAGAGATTTTAGTGTAGATATAATTGCAGATATATATTTAATAAATATTAGTTACTTCTAAAGTAAAAAAAATCTTTTGTATTTTAACAAAAAATTCTATATAAAATTTTAATATATACTATATTTTGTTAACTCTAATCTTGGTTTTAATTAAATTTTTATTTTTTGTAAAAAAAGATTATTTTGATTTATATATTACACTAATTTTTATGTTTATATATAAAGTAGCACTACATTGCTATAAGCAAAATAGAAATTTATTTTAATTGGATACTTGTTTTATATTGACAAACTATGTTATACAAGTTTTTATATTATTTTGCAATAGAAAAATTTAATCTAAAGAAGCAATATTGAAATTTTTATAATCATTTGGTACAATGGTTTTTTGAGCGCTTAGTTTTTATATAAAAGTTCAAGATCAAGTGGGATCAAGTATTCCATTAGAAGCGATGCTGATGATGTTAGCATGTAGCACAATAACAATATTAGGTATTTTTAACTTTTAAAGAATAATAATAAAAAATAATATTTTCTTTGAATAAGTGTTTCGAACTTCACGTGATCAGGATAAGAAAATTTAATCGTTTAACGAAATACTATAAAGTGTCAGAGATGAATACAGGAATAACGAAAGTTAACCCTTTCAATTTTGACCAATCATAGCTTTTAATAATTAGCTACGTAATCAAACAAATTTCTATCTTGCTAATGCTATCGCTATCGCAGTTTGCTTATTTGCGCGAGTAACACAAACCAAAAAAGGAAATCCAATTTTGTAAATAAATTAAGTGCGTAAAGATAGAAGTTTAGGGTTAGGGAGTTAACATTAGCGGCTATAACAATAGATTGTTGCTTGCTATATGTAAAATTTCGTTCCCGACATTTTTAATTAGTGCACCAAGGTCGATTTAAACACTAGTTTTTTCTTTCGCACGTGTTCGATTTTGTGCACTCCGATTGGCCATTTCCTTTTTAGGGGTTTGTATTACTCGCGCAAATTAAGTGCGTGCCATTCACATTGGATGGTCGAGAATTTTTTTGGCTGTTTTGGGATCAAGGAGTCTAGGGTTTAAAATCTGTCCCCCATGTTCTTTCGTGTTCTTTAACCGATACTTGCATTATCCCATTATTTATTAAAACTTCAATACACTGAAATTTGGCGTTGTGGATAATGTAGTTCCGCGGGTTACGTGTGGGTTGTTTCTCTTTTCGATCACGTATCTACATCACCTCGCAAGAAATAGATTCCGGACAGTAAGACGATTTTTAAACCAGTATTTAACAATTATATATTTAATTAATATAAAAAAAATACAATACAATACAATTATATTGTCAAAATATAACTAAAATCTAACATTAATATATTATTATATTTAAGAAAACTCTAAAGTATAGTATTTTTTTGTTTCTATACTGCGAATTAGACGTGAACAAACAAACTTATACAACTCTCAGAGATATATTATTAAATAAAGTTATAAGAATTTTTGTTCAAGATTTCTCTCATAGCTTTAGCCATTTTTTCACCAACTATCATATGTTCAACTTGACTAACCCTTGAACCTTTAACCAAACTAGTTTCTCTCATAACCTGTTCAAATTCTTCAAATTCATCTTCTTCCATAAGATTAACATTATCACTTCGAATCTCTCGAAGGTGCATTAAGTTTGAAACATTACTTGGTGCCCACAAATAATCACATAAATGTTTTTGTTCTATTGGTAATAATATTTCTTTTAATAATATTGTTAAAGGTTCGTCTAGTGATTCATGAAGTACTATCGGTTGTGATGAAAGTTCTTCTACTCTGTTTCTTTGATTAGATGTATTATGTAACATATGAAAATGTGAATGTTCGATTTTAATAACGTTTAGCATACGAAGAGCATAGTCTAAACATTCTTTTGATGAGATAAGTTTCACTTTTCCAAGTTGATTAATTGATTCAAAGATTGAAATAAAGTGTTCTAAAAATGGAAAACATCTGTTGTCTTCTCTAGCTTCTAAAGGAAGCTTTGCACATGATCGTCTTGATGATATGGAATAAGTTTCGAATCTTGATATCCATGTATCAAGAGTTTGAACATTATTAAAGTCTGTCGGTATTGATGTCGGTATCGTTGGAAAAGGAAATATCGAGTGTGATGTTAATGATGGTAATGGTTGCATTAGCACTGGTGAAAATGAGGGTGATGCTGATAATGGTGGTGATGGTAACGAGTTATTAATACTAAGTTGGTGTGGTGTAGGATTTACATTTTCATATTGAGTTCCTAGGGATGTTGAAGAAGCCTTTATGGATGCCAAAGTGTTTAGGGATGTTGAAGAATCTTTTAAGGATATTGAAGAAACTTTTAGAGATATTGATGAGTTGGTAGATGTCGAAGTTGATGTATCACTATCT